CGTCCTGCGCTTGGGCAGGCGCCAAGGGGGCACCTACTGTGCCTGGCCGGGGCTCTGGCACCGGGCCAGTGTCCGTGTACCACTGCTGCGTCTCACGGTTCACCTCCTTGTAGAGCCCGCCGAAGGCACGCTGCACACTGCGCATGGGGAAGGCACAGACAGCCGAGCCCAGCCCCCCCTTGTTCCTGGTGGGGAGAGGCAGAGCCCGTGGCAAGATCAGGCCTCTGCCTCTGCTGAACCCCCTGCACTGCCCCCCGCAGTGGCCCAGATCCCTGTCACTCACCATTGTGAGGTGAAAACCCCATAGAAGAGCGTGTCCCTCCAGCGCAGCTCACCCGGAGTGAGCACGAAGATGTCCTGCAGCACATTGAAGGGGAACCCGTCCTCGGGGTGTGAGCAGAGCAGCTGAGCTTTCAGGAAGGTCGTCCACCGCCGCTGCAGCACGCGCTCCCCGCCCTGGTCCCCCTGTGTGGCACAGCGGGTCAGGGCGTGACACCACAGCTGTGCCCCCGGGGAGCCTCAGGGGCTGGGTGAGTGGAGTAGGGGTCCAGGCACCGAGGGCTGGAAATGTGCAGGGTGCTCCCACATACCCCCCACCCCAACAGTGAGTCATATCCCAGGCACAGTCCCCCACGCATCCCCACTGCTCTGTGCCCACCTTGCACACACGTGCGATGCGGGAGACAATGGTGTTCTCAAAGTAGTCAAACTCCTTTCCAGTCTCACTGAAGAAGAAGTAGACCTTGTCGTCGTCGCCCTCAGGGTTGCCGGCAGGGAGGCTCTCGCGCAGGTAGGCTGAGCCCACGAACACTGGGTCTGGGGACACAGGGACCCTTAGCACTACTGGCCCGATCCCCAGCTTCCCACGCTCTGGGGGACAAGGACCTTGACCAATAGTGCCAGCCCCAGTGCTCACCCTGCAGCCAGTTGAGGGAATTTTCGGTCTTGAGGGCAATGCGGTTCTCCTGGCTGCGGGAGATGGTTGGCTCATTGCCCTGGAAGTTGCTGACAGTCCCGGCATAGAGTTCTCCATCTACCAAAGACATGCTCCTGCTGAGACCCAGCACATGCCATTGGCATGGCCCTGCTCCCCACCAGGGTCCATGACAGCCTGGCCCTGGCTCAGCTTGGTGGGGCAGATGCAGGGAGGGTGAGACACAGGGAGGAGGGCGAGGGTCGCAGAGCACTGCAGGGAGGGTAAGGGTGCCAGGGTGGCACAGGGAGGGCAAGGGTCCTGAGGCAGCACAGGGAGAGCGAGAGTTCCAGGGCACTGTGCCTTACCGACCATGACAGCCGTGGAGCGGTACTCGGGGTCGAAGGGGCAGCGTCCCTTCCCATCCTCCAGCAGCACCTTCCCTGACACATCCCGCTCCAGGCTGAAGTGCTGCATGTTCTGCAACAGGACAAGGCTGTGAGCTGGCAGAGCTCACCCCACTGCCCAGGACCCTGTTGAAGGGCCCCATCAGCGTGGGGGGACCTGACTGGGGCCCTGCTCCTGTACTCACAATGTAGGTGCAGGCTGGGCTGAAGGCACAGGTCCCACAGGTGTACAGGTGGGTGCTGTTCAGCCGCAGCAGCAGCTTGATGTAGTTGTGACAGTCCCTCTGCAGGGGTCAGAGGAGCCGGCTCAGCCCTCGGCTCAGCCCTCCCACCCGCATCCACCCTGCACGGGCACTGCCCACTCTACCGCAGCCCCTGACAGCCACTGGTAGTGGGGCTCACCTGGGGGTCCTTGCCCTTGAACACACACTGCCTCTTCTTCTCCTCATCCGCACTCCATAGCAACTGTGGAGAGGGGACAGTCACTGGGAGCCCCTTGTCTCTGCCTGGTCCACCCACACCTTCCTTGGTCTCATCCCCAGCACCCATGTCCTCCCCACACCAACCATCCTGCTCCTGAATACAGCAGCTCACTCAGACCCAAAATGCTGGTGGGGAGGGCAGCTCCTGCACTCCAGCTGGCTAGGTGCCCCCTCCCTCCCTGCGGGCAGCCCATCCCATCCCTAAGCTCACCCTTCGAGCCGGGGCACCGGGCTGGAAGTGGCTGGTGTTAAGGGCGAGAAGCAGCTCCCGTGCCCCCAGGTAGAGGGTCCTGCCATCCGGACTCAGCAGCAGGGCCGTGTAGTTGGACACGCCGGGTGCCTCAAACCGCTGCACCACCCGCTCGGCTGAGTCTGTTGGGAGGACAGTGACTGGCATCAGCCTCATATGGGCACCTGACCCCCAAGACTCCTCACCACGGCCCATCTGCTCAGCACCTCGGCCGTGCCATCCACCCAGAGCAACCAGGGTTGGATCTGGCCTATGCTGCCAGACATGTGTGGCACCACACACATTGCGGTGAACTGTGCACGGCCACAATAGTGCCCGAGGGCAGCCATGAGGCATTGCTGTGTCCAGGCCCTGGGGATGCTGCAGCAGCCCTGCCCAGCACTGGGGCAGCTGCCCAGCTGCACACAGCCCCAGGGCTCAGCCCTGTGGCGCAGGAGGCTCAGCCCAGCCTGGGCCCACGGGGTCCCCAACATCGCAGCAGGGAGAGCATCAGAGAGATCAGAGAGCTCAGCCTGTGCTGGACTCAGGGCTCAGCCCGGTGCTGCCCACCCTGGCCCTTGGGGCTCAGCCTGTGCCGGACACGGGGCAGTGGCTGTGCTGAGTCAGGGAGTGCCCGTCCCGTCCTGTCCCGCGTGGGTGGCCTGGCCCCGGAAACCCTTCCTCTCCTGCTGCTGCTCTGAATCAGATGGGCCTGGCTGTGTCAGCGAGACACGTTGGGCTGACTCATACTGCCAACTTCCCTGACCTCTGACACCCTGGGAACTCCCCGACCTCCCCCGACCCCCTGCCTGCTCCCAGAGCCCCACCAGGATAGCCCTGGGGCTCCTGCCAGTCCCTGCCAGGTAAGAGCCAGTATGAGCCCTTGAGGACCTGTGAGGCAACAGTGCTGAGGGGCAGGACCCTGTTGCTCTCCCCCCCATCGCTCCACACACCTCAAATGCCTCTGAATGGGGCAGCATCTCCCCCTACCCTGCAAGACTCAGTTGGCCCCTGCCCCAGCACCCACTCCAGTTCTCCCACAGTGGTGCAGAGAGAGGGAAGTCAATGCCCCAGGGCATCCTCCGCAAGGGGTCCTGCACCCCAGTGCTGGGACGATGCCACCTGTGGTGGGCACGGCAGCAGAGGGGCAGCAGGGCCCCTGCGCCCTGCAGAGCTGTCCTGACATGGGGAGCTGCTGGTGCGGCTGCCAGGGACCTGTCAGGACACGACCTGCTTCTTCCAGACAAACCTGCTGCAGGCACATCCAGCGCTCCCAGGGGAGCAGCTCCCAGCTCCTCCCTCCCACTAACTGCAGCCCCACGCAGCCATGCTCCGCGGGAGCCACCACTGGGCACACACCGGTCACTGGCCCATGCCTCCTGCCCAGCTCCTCTTGCAGCGCTGGGGTCCAGCTGGGACCCTCAGGCACTGCCTGTGGCTGCAGCCCCATAGCCTCTCAGGTGGGCAGAACCAGTCTGTGCAGGCAGGGCTGGGCAGCACAGCACAGCACAGCACGACACCTAGCTGGCCATCGTGCTGGCTTCCAGCCTCCCGTCCAGCTCGGCGGGTCCCACATCTGCTGGTGCCACCATGGCCATGGCCAGTGGTCACGGGAGCATGTGGTGGGGCCACGTCCACACCAGCGAGCCACAGCGTGCTGAGCCAGGGAGTGCTCCCAGCTGCCCAAACCACGGCACCCTCCCAGGCCCTGCCCAGCACAGGATGGGATGGGCTCCACTGGCCGGGAGCAGCTGGATCCAGCCACCTTCTCCTGGCAGTGCAGCCAGTCTGGACACCCAGGGGCAGCCCCCCCGTCCCAACACAGCTGCCAAGGCTGAGCCCAAGGAGCGTGCCCCACTGCTATCCCACCCTGTGCCAGCTGCTGGGGGGCTCTGCAGGGCAGGAGGGGGCTGCAGCCATGCTCCCCACTTGTGAGGGCTCTGCCTAGCTGAGCACCCTCCCAGATGTCCTTCCTCAGCCCTCAGTGCTCTGGGGCCATGCGGCTGACGGGGGCCTTCAGTGGGACCCGGAGAGCTCCAGGACCATGGTTACAGGGACAGGA